AATTAAATGTATGATTCTGTCTGAACAAACGCTAATGCATTCAATTAATTTTTTCATTTCTGCTTATACAGAAGTTTAATAAAAGCTGAAAAATTCTCAATTAACTGAAAATATCAATTACTTTCAAGAACAAAATAGGCTTATACTTCATTAACCTACTGCTGCAAAATTTTGTTGCAAAAACCTCTAAATCATTTTGAAGACTCCAAAGGGAATATAGACATTTAAGAATTTTAATGTGCTAAGACACTCATAAAACTTTTCTGTGGTTTTATATTATTATTTTATTATTATTATTTGTATGTTCCTATTGGTAAATATATTTCCTCATAATTCTTGATAAAAATAAATATTTTTCAGAATTTTTAATCAGAAAATCAGAGCACTTCAGTCTTAAATGAGCATTAACTGATTATTTTTCCTTTTTGCAGCTTCATTCTTTGCTCTATTTATAGTGACAGTGGCAGCAAGAATTGAGAACAAGTGATCCTTTTCAATTTCTTATTTCTAAATTCTGTTCCAATGTCACACAGAGCTCCCTGAGGGCTAGTAATCGTAGTAATCACTAGCCTAGTCAGACTTGTTAAGAGATGAGGTTAATTAGCTATGATGCTGGTACTGGTATGGCAAACCTATGCTAAGTACATCCAGCAAAATGTATCTGTTTCTTTGCAAGAAGTCCACAGAAGTTGTGAAGACAAGAATTTGTCTCCAGTTAAAAAAAAAAAAAAAAAAAGTAAAGTACATTCTGAAATTACACGTTACAGCAATTCAGCTATCATGTAAAAAGTAGGAAAATGTGAAAAAGAGATTAATTCTCACATTTAAAAAAAAAGAACATCTTTCAGATGTTTAATTTTGTAATAAGAATCCCTCATATCTTTTAAGGAAGGCCACATTGTGCTTGCATGCCTCACTAGTTACTGAGATATTTAGATACTCTTGGTTGTATATGACATTAGAATGAAAACCATGAATATTGTCATGCCATTTGATAATGAAACTAAAATGAAATACTTGAAGAGACAGAGAAAGTCTGCTATGTTCAGCTACCTAATGAATAGCTGTAGGACAAAGAGAAATGTGTAATAAAAAATGACTTACAGGTTGCAGCAAAGTAAATTCTGACAAGGGTTAAAGAAAAACGTCATGAGAGTTGTTCAACATTGGAACAAGCATCCAGAGATGTGTTTGAATCTCTATCCTTAGACACAAAACCGAGCTCAATAAAGCCCAACATAAATGGAACTGAATATGAAGCTAGTCCTGCTCAAAGATTTTGGACTAGATGATCTCCAGAGGTACTTTCCAACTACTATTTGCCTACAAATTTAAGATATTTTTAATGCTTCCCTAAGAAAAATAATGTGAAAAAGTTAACAGTGTAAATTCTCTTTTTTTTTTCATGCATGGCTTGCTAGTTTACCCTTTGATTTTTCAAAAAGGATTTTGCACTGATTTTCTAAAAGGATGAAATAATTTTAAAATATGAGTTTGTGCATTACTTAAAAATTACTTAAAAATGGGATAACATACTTTGTTAAGATACAGATCTGACAAAATGATATAAGAGGACTGCAGCTGCAGCTCCAAATGATGTCTCCTGTAGTACTGAAATTCAACTGATAATTAAAGGTAGCTGATCCAACAGGTCTTGTTTCTAAATTCTTTTTTTTCCACTCTGCATGTGTATATGCGCAAATACCTATATACGTGCTAATGCACACTCTTAAGTTAGAAAAAGTTAAAACATATACAGCTTTAAAAAGAATGTTAGTGTGAAAATGACAGCTAGAATCTGTTCCATGTTCATGGTAAAACATATGCAAGTTTTTGATGAAGAGATTTGCTTTCTAAAAATCTTCATATGAATGACTACACATTTCAAATATTTCACGCTTCTTTCAGAATAATACTAATCAAGCAATACTGTCCAAACTAGAAAGGAAATATCTGATCATACAGAAATGAAAAAATGGTAATACTTTCCTTACACAGAATCACAGAATGGCCAGAGTTGGAAGGGACCTCAAGGATTATGAATCTCCAACCCCACTACCACATGCAGGGCCACCAACCTCCACATTTAACATTAGACAAGGCTGCCCAGAGGCCCCATTCCAATCTGGCCTTGAACACCTCCAGGGATGGGGCATCAAACAAACTCCTTAAACAAGGAGTAAGATATATTACGGTCTAAAACTATTGATACAGAAAAAAACTTTTGTTTTCAGAAACATGAAAATTAACTGGAAAGCTAATATCTGTCAAATGAAAAAATGTATTTGCTTATACTACCACACAGTACTTGAAAATTCTGGAAATCCATTGACTATATAGACCTGTAGTGAAATCCTGACCTTAGAGAAAACATTTTTTCCTAGGACTTTAAAGTAAAACCAGGTTTCATCCTATAATTGTATCTCACTATTTCCCATCACATCCTTTTGAACTTCTTTCCCCTTCAAAAGATATATAAAACTTACATTTTTGTTTATTATCCTTTTTAACCTGAAAATGCTCAGAACAACAAAGTTTGTTCTGGAATGTGTGTTAAAAACCTGCTGGATTAAGGTTCTCAGAAAAAAAATGTTGAAATTTCCAAGGCAAAATTTCATTGGCACTGTTTCCTTAAAGTGTAATCTGAAGGACTTCAAAACACTAAATTGTATGTAACTCAATCTGTTTATCTGAAATGGATGAAAGGGTTTGTGCTCATCTAGGTGATCTGAACTCTCAGTTCCAGACTGCCTAGGTATTGCACATCTAAGGTTTAGACTACGAAGACGTGCATTTCTCTCACGAATCCCCAATCTTTCCTGTGTTAATATAGATGATTAAAATGAATACCATGATCAAATTTGTAAAATATTTTTAAGTACTAAGTGATGACTACTGCAAAAAAGTTTCTACCAAAATTGTTATTTCAGGCACAGCAGGTGACAATTATGTTGTTTTTAATCATGTTGTATAAATCTCAGAAACAAGTCACTAACAGGAATATTAGTTTGTTCCCTAAACACACACAAGAAAACCTCTTCCATTTATTATCTTTGTCTCATCTCGCTTCCATGGCAAGCTGTTTAAGACTACCTTAGCCAACCATACTGTGAAATAAATCCAATGTACCCTATAACACAGGCAGCGCCAGTTAATATTGTTCAAATTATTTACATCTGAAGGGCCGCGCCTGTCTGGATAGCTGGGCCCGACGCTTCTCTGGACTTGGTTTCTGCTACTCACATCTGTTTCAGCTTTAGACTTTCACTGGTATTCTGCCAGCAACCACAACTTTTTAATGGCTACAATAAACTACAGAGACTCATCAAATCTTTGTTGAACGTGTTAAAATTATAACCTCTTCAATTAAAATTTTGATTTAAAAATAAACTATAGCAGTATCTGAAGAGAAAAAAAAAAAAAGAGAGGGAATGTTTGAAAGAGATACAACATTCTTACATGAGTGATTGCTCCTTTGTTTAAATGTAAGAGAAATTGTTCACAGGAATACTTCTTAGAATTCTGCTGCATATTTCTGATTGATAAAATACCAACATCTGAGAACATTTCCACAACCTTTTCTGTTTCAAATCCTTGCTGTTGTTAGCTTTATATGTTAATTGCTTTGACAGGGTTTCAACTGTATCTTTTCAAAAAATTTTGATAATAACCTCAGTGCAACACATTTTCTGCACTGTCTATGGATATCTAAGAAAAAATGTTAAAACAAGTCAGTGATAACAAGAAAGCAACAATTCTCATTTTGTAAGTGAGTTGAAGTACATTAGCTTGTGCTCTTTCCTGTCTCTGTCTTTGCAGCGTAGAGCAAATACGATGTGAATGTCACAGCCTCCGTGCAGATCCCGCAAGACTAAGATGCATTACAGCAGGACTACATGCTGATAAAGTACAAGATCAAACACAGATCATGTTTCTGCACAAACTAGCCCAACAGAGGGCAGGCCAAGGGTTTTACAGGGCCAAGCGATGAGAGGAGATAGAGCACTCACTTATGCCTGGGTTGAACAAACAACAACTGACACTTTCCTACCACTGTCAACATTTGAAACTATCCCAAAGATGGCAGTGACCTAACCCAGCCATTCCTAACTGTAAGGATAATATATTTTGTAATGATTTTCATTGCCTTACATTAAAAAATCAACTCTAACTCTAAAAGCACACTTACATTTTGATGCAGACGTTATCTAATTGTAAATGGAGAAGTTTCTTTTTTTTTAATATAAGCTTTTACACAGATTTTGTCCCTAATCTCTATTTTCTACATATAACTGCTTCAGTAAAACCAGGAAATTTCCTTAGCAAAAATGATAGGCTTAAAATATCCTGTCACCATTTACTGGATTTATTTTTAAGAGTCATATGAATCACAAAATAAAAATGAAACTGCTTGGAATACTTAGCAACCATTCCTACTTTATATCCTCTCAATACCTTGATTGATAGATGAGCTGGGTTTTTGAACCCCCTGTTTATAATAAATATTTTAAAATGTTTATTTTATGTCCGAGGGTGAAAATGTTTTGAACCAGAGCTTTCAATTTCCCTTTGCTATGCCTTGGCAAGTTGTGTTTTATTTCTACACTAATTCAACTCTTTCTTGAAGCTGTTAAATTGTTGCTATACAAGTACTGAAGAAAGCATTTGTTATGAACCTAGCAGATTATCTACAGTTAAGCACATAGCTATGGAGAAGCCAGAGGAAAAATAATACATAACATTTCAGAAAGATTTCTTTAAGGATCTTTCAATTGTAAAAGGGAATTACAGAACATTACTTTACAATATTTTTACTTTCATTTTTATTAAGTCATGAGTTCAAAATATTTTTTTCTATTTTATGTGGTTAGTTTCTACCACAGTGTAAAAACACTACAATCAACACTATAAACCTAATTAGCAATAAGCTAACCTCATAAAGATCACATTTTAAATGGCACTTAGTTGTTTGCAGAACAAATGTGAAAGTTGCCAGTTACCTTCTAGGTCTTTCTTCAGCTTCCTTAAGTCTTTTATTAGGTCTTCAAACTTAACTTGGGAGGCCTGGAAAAAATCCTGTGGTTCTGGTAAAGGAAAAATACTCTTGTCTGTTCCTGCTTCCTAAACAAACAAACAAACAGGACTCTATGAAAATCAGATGCATTTGCAGTGAAATAAATTACTTTTCTGAAACATCATCAATAAAACAGCAATAATAATAATAATAAAATTAAATAGTTCTTCCTAAAACAGCATAAATATAATTTCAGGTAAAATCCTGACCATTCTGAATGTTGAAACTTCCCTTTGGATGTTGTAATGCAAACTGCTCAGTTTAAACTATGAAGCAACACTGAGCTCATGACATTTCAGTTCATTTTATATCACTAAAAGTTTAGTTATGGGATTATAAGTTTCTTAAAACTAGATAACATGAATGCCTTTTTTAATGGAGCAAGTGATCTTATGCCAGAAGTTTGTGGTTTCACTCTTTCCCAATTCATTAGATATATACACACTTTATATGGATAAATTGAAAACAATATTTACATATTGCCTGGAGCACTTAGACAGATAAAAATATATAGTTGAAAGTCTATTCAGCTTAATAAATCATATAGTTTAATGTCTTTATGGAACTCATAAGTATATATCTTATTTTAGGAAAATTAAAATATTTCGGAAGTGGAAAAAAAAATAACAAGCAACATTACAAGATTTAAAGTGGTATCTCTGGGGGAAATCCAACAATTCAAGTGTATAAGTGGTATTAAAAGAACATTAAAATCTTAGACTAGTGGGTTTAAAGTGTACAGTGCACAGATTTCAGTCTGAAAGAAAGAAAAAATCATAGGTAAGAGAAAAAGTGTTTGTGAAAAGTGAAAAAACACTTATATTGTTAGGAAGATAAGAACGCCTAGGGAAAAAAGAAAGTACAAGGGTAACATTTACATTACCCCACTTCCTACATTCTAATTTCTAACCTCATCTCTTTCAACCAGGACGCCTTGGTTAAATTGCCATCATATTCTGTCATAAGAGAAATAATGCTTGTTTCCCACTCTTATCGCATCAAAACAAAATTTGAAAATTTGCAATGTTACAGTAACCAGAACCTAAGAAGAAGAAGGGATTGGAGTGACAACCTGTACAGCCTGCAAGAGTCAGAGACAATTGCTCGCAAAGTACAGTTCCACAGTTAATGTAAGATTTTCCACAGTTTTATCACAGTAAATTTCAGACCTATTGAGGTCCAAAGCTGTTGCAAAAAGCTAAAGAAAATAGATTTTATTTTTGCATTAGAGCTTGTCAGATGAAACAAAAGAAAAAAAATCTACTTTTAGAGAGGCATATACAGCAAATGAATCTTTTACCTTATCACAGTGGCGTAGGTAATATATGACAACATAATCCACAAGATTAATACGATTATCCTAGGGGAAAGAACAGAATATTAAAAAGGGGTTATGGATTCATACAAATGTTAAATGTTGTATGATTAATGAAGGTATGGACGGAGTCATATTTTACTCCAAACATAAAACCAGACAGCATGTACCTGACAAGTATATTTCCTGCCCTTTTGGATTATGGACATGAATTTTAATTCTCTCTTTTTGGAATCTCCATTTCCTTGGTCCTGCATGCAACAACCCATACATTTTGTTTTGCTATATGTTGTTGGTTCAGCATAAGGTAGATCAACTAAAGAAAAAAGGTAAAACTGGAACTTATACTTTACAGTATATCATTCAACAATATAAAATAATTGTAATAAAGGGAATTATAACTGGGATGTCTTCAATTTTTCTTTTTGTATGTTTTTATTTTCCACATTGACAGCTATCGGTACAGACATTTGTCTGTGAACAATGTCTAGCCTCGTTTATGAGGCTGCCTCACCTCCATTACCACCTGCAACACATCACTTACATCTTATTAATATCATACACAAGCATAACTAAGTCACTGCTGTCATGAGTAAAAAGTACTCTGCTTATCTAGCAGTTACAGAATACATTGCTGGCAGGTTCTGTGACAAAAAGGAACTGCGTTGGCTTATGAATATTTGATTGCCCTTCTAAAGAAAAATATGCTTGTTGTTCTATTTTCTGTGTTAAACTATGAAACCTATCACTTTAGATTAAACAGTACTTCTAGAAGACAAAATACAGAGATTCTGAAGTGAGCTAAGATTTTTTTTTTAACCTCTGTATCAAGTATTTTTCTTGGCTCATGTGACAACAAAAAACCTTTATGTTAAATTAAAGATACTAAACTTTGACAGCTTACCTTAGCTCCTTGAATTTAGCTTCCTAGAAATCACATTTTTTGCTGACAATTCCCAAAAAAGGACACCACTCTGTTAAATGTGTAAGACCCTCCATTCTTTCTTGCAAGTACAGTCTCCAGTTGTCTGCCTATAGCAGCTGGTGTCTGTGAATTTTTATGCATTTTGCAGGCGAGTCCCATTCTTCACAGTAATATAAACTAATAATGTATTTACTTTGGCTACCAAAAAAAAACTATAAGTACTGTAATTTTTTTTATCTTGTTTTCTAAGGAACAAGTCTCATGCAGTTACACTGTACATCTGTCACTCCTTTTCATAACTCATAATTTTGGAGCATGCTAACCAAACCCGGCCAAACTGGAAAGTCCCAGAGAAGACAAAATTCTTACAAGTTCATGGTAGACAGAAAAGGGGGACTAAAACTAGTACTTCATATTATGAAAGTCAGGCAAAGCTCAGGTTGTTCTAACTTTTTTCTGTATGGCAGCTGGCTGACCAATGAACACATGAATACTGGGAAGCTGGCCTTAAGCTGCTTTAGCTGAACAGTAGCTAAAGACAGCCCATGTATCGCATCCATGGAGTAGGACTAGAAGAAAAGTTGTTTTAGGGGACAACTGAATAACTGAGGTGAAGAGGAAAGTAAGAGTTAGGAGATAGAAGATACAAATACATTGAAAAATATTCCATAAATTTAGTGGTTCACTGAACAATTTATTAAACCTTGTTTTCATACTTTGCTATTGGTGGTACTCACAGGTGAAATAAAAAGCTCCCTAGACAAATTATTTATTTGACATTGCTTCTCTCCCAAACTGAGAGCATTCCTATGTACATCCAGCATAACTGGGAACAAAAGCTTAAACTGTAACTTTCTTATAATTCAGAACAGCACTTCAAGTAAAAAAAGAGGAAGAGTGTGAGAGAACAGTTTTTTCTCACCCTCTAAATTTGTACAACAACAGGAGAAAATAACTCCTACTCTTTGGTAGTTCCCATATCCACATAGCATCCAGGTATGCTTTGGCAGGCATGGACCTTTGAGTGGTGTTTCCATTGCCTAGATTATCTAGTACCTCGTCATCTTCCCTACTGAATGCTAACATCATCTCAAAAGATGGGCACCCTTTCATGGAGTCTTGTTTTCATTCTAACATAACTGACCAAAAATGGGCTAGTGGTTCTCAATTTTTGACAAAGTAATTTATTGCAATGTCTCAGTGTTACCTTCTGCATGCCATTCAGAATTCATGCTCTACATCCATTTTACGGCCAATGCAAAAAAATAAAGACTGAAAATACTTTGTTGGATCTGAGACACCTTTTTGAAGTGAATTAAAATCCTCTAATTTATATATTTATATCTTTTATATATATGTACTTGTTTTGTGTATACTCTACACAGAACTCTTCCTGATATTTCTTTTTTAAACCTGATCTTGAAAAGGTTTTTACTCATATACACCTATCATAAGTCAGGAGCAAGAGAAAAAAGGGACAGTTGTCAGAGACTACTTTAGCGGCCTGTGCTCTCTCACATTTCTCTCCCTGCTGTACTTAAGTTTTCACTAATAAAATAGACACAAGGTTTTCATATTACACAATTATCTTAGTGGTATTGAATAGCAGAAATAGGAGATTATGGAGACATGCATATGTGCAGAAGAAAAAAATAAAATCTTGAGAGAAAGAAACTAGAATATGGTACAAAAATGCCTCATTCTTTCAAGCAGAAAATGGTAAGAAGTGAGACAAGATTAACTTTTGACAGGGAAATAATTTAAGTAGTCCTTAAGAGAAAATGAGTACTTACTCTGCTTTTGACATCTTTTAGTTTAGGGAGTATTTCCAAACCAAATCCATCAGCTTGACCTCGAGTCCTATTCCCACCATTCATGTAGTTTCCAAACGCCAGAATCAAACCTAAAATCTCCTTTACGCTCGTCATGTTCAGCAAAGCCTGGAAAATGGATACTAGTCTGAATTATCTGTTGGCACAGAAATCTTAATTACTCATATGACAAAGCTTTTTAAATTTTGTTTTTGCTAGACTATGTTTGGTTTCTCATGTATGCTACAAGGAAAGGAATCTAAAACTGGTACATGAATCAAATATTTAAGAGAAGAATTTATTAGACTAAAGCTACCTAAGATACTATCTTTAACTTAATCCACATGAGGTAAATTATATACCATTATATACTATGTAGATGACAAAAAAGATTAATGGAAGAAGTTTCACTACAGATTACTAAGCATCCTTAGTAGCCTTTAAAAAATCTTAGAGACAAAATGGTTTGTCATGAGTTTTCACAATGCAGTCAAATGAAGATGCGTTATTTTTGCTGCCATTGGATTAGATTTAGTCATATTCAGTCTGCTTCTCATTGGTTCTCATGCTCTGAAAATCCACATTTCAGTTCATACTTAACACAGACGTAACAAGGTTAATTCAATGCCTTAAAAGAAAAATGAAATCTAGAAACACAGTGAAGAATTAATAAATTATTTTAATTTCCATATAAAGACACCTATCTTATCAGCCAAGATCTTAATCTTAATCTATGTCTCCTTTTGAAAGGTAACACTAAGTAACTACTTTTATTACCAGAATGTGCAAAAATATGGATAAAAGTAGGGATAGAGCACGGGTAGCTTGTGGCAGAAAAGTTGTTCAAAAGACAGTATTCACATAATAAATAATAAAAAATAAAATAAAGTAACATCCTGGCCAGGATATTATACCGTTTATTTAGTTTTCAATTAGGACTTACCTTGGAAACACGAGTTATGATATCAATTTTCCTGTGAACTGATGTTATCCCTTCAGAGAAAACTGATTGGAAAATAATACATTGAGCTCGTTCTGTGAAATTGGGGATCTGAGATAATTCGTATAAAAATCTGTGAAAAAAAAAAAAAGATGAATCATTGCATTTCATATCTGTGAAGTACATAGTGAATTAAAGCTGTTGTACTATAAAATACTGCAATGTTCAACAATCTGTCAAAATAATTCTGACAGAATTTATAATTCTATATTCTTTACACTTAGTGTTCTTTATGGTCAGTGTGTTTAGTGGTCCTATTTATATGAAGAAAAATGCAAGACATTAACTCTTATGACACTAACCCACTAATTATCACGAATGTCACGTCTAGCAAACAAGAGGAATCATAAAACAAAGAAAAAAAGGCTAGAGAATCACAATCTATTCACTGCTTTTACTCATGTGCTTTTTGCTTCACTTTAAAACATGCCCAGCAGTACAGAACTCAACATATTCTTACAAAGTTATTTCATAATACAGAATGACTACCAAGAAATTTTTTCTGATGCTCAATCACAATTTTCTTTTACTAATTTACACCATCCTTCCAATTATATAGCAGCTTGCTTTATGGTAATGCACCTAGCTGTGTATTTAACTCTCAAATACTTGCAAATTATCTCTCTCTTCACTGTTCAGTAAAGTTACTTTCTGTTTCTGTTCATTTCCTACTCATCTACCTACTCTTCTCATGACTATTCCAGCTTTTTTCTTTTAGCTCTTTAAATAAAAATAAAAGTATATTTAACAATTTCAGGTCAAATATCACAAAACAAAAGCACTCAAAGATACAAAAAATTATTTCCTTTTTCCTTCTTTAATTTAAAATTTAAGAGTTAGACTAAATAACACAAGAAACTTTAACATTTCTTAAAATAACAAGGTTTGCATAATTTACTTTGTGGGTTTTGTGTCAATGATTTCAGTGCTACATTTGCTTTTTTGAAACCCATGGGGAAATCTTTAGGTCCGATATCGCTACAGAAGAATTCTTGTATTCTCCTGTCTACAAATATTCTTAGATCCCCTTTAATGTGATGGCTTAAGGGTTCTTTTACCTTACAGAATTCTGGGACGTTTTCTGAACTATTATTAGCTTGAATTATTATTAAATTAATTTTAATTATTTAAATAGTCATCTGATTTCTTCAAACTATTTATTTTTTCTAAAATTTTAATAATGCCTAATGCATGCAACGTGTTGCTCAATACACAGTGAGTGTATAAAAAAAATGGTAACATCCACCTGTGAATGGTGTGAAACTAGCTATCATTTTTCCTTTTTCTTTCTTGCCTGATGAGAAAATCTACTGAGAGAAGGACTGGGGAGGCCAGCCTTGGCTCTTGCATTGAAGCAGTGGAAAAAAAAAGAAATGCTAAGCTGTTATTAATAAAAATGCTTCCTATTGGGAATGAATGGTATTGCCAGGAAAAAAGAAAAAAAAAGAAAAAATAGAAAAAAAAAAAGAGGATACTTTATAAGTACTCCATGTGAGAAAGACAAAAGGAAGAAAAGCCCCAACTGCTCCACAGAAGTTCTGACATACATACATTCCAATATTTTAAATTTAAAAATCAAAATAAGGCACTTTCTTTTCTTGCCTGCCCTTGAAAAAGGGACTTTCATTTACTTTTCTGGTCTTTGAATACTACATAACTATGCTGAGAATTAAAACCTTTAGCATAACAAGAAATGTATCCAGATTTTGGAATTCAAAGTATTCATTGTAAATATCCTGACTGAACAGTTGTAACCAAAATATATCACGAAGAGGAATCTATGTTAGCAATTACTAAACATGAGGCTATCAAAGATAAACCACCACATTCATGTGGACAGAGCTTCTTCAGAAAAAAAAGAATACTCCTAATTCAATCAGTTTTGGAATTTTAAAATGAGGAAAGTATGGTTTTGACTTAAAGTTACAATGAGATGACTGTCACATAATTTTGGATTCTCACTGCTACAATTTTCATTGCCTAAAGAAAACAGAGAATTTGTAACAGATCTGTGTGAGGTCCATTTACTCCTCTCCTGCAGAAAATAAAAAATACATTCTTTTAGAACTGTTTTATCCTACCAGAACTTTATAACAGAAGACTTGAAATTACTTTCAATGTCCAGCATCTTTATGTAGCTAGTACAACAGAATATTATTTCAGAAGTGAAATAAAGTATGCTGATTCTATGGTCATAAACTAAATATCAACTCACATTTATCCAGATTTGAGGAATATAAAATTAAGAAATTTTGGTGGGGGAGAAAAAGGTGCATCTTATTTTTCAAGCTTCTAAGGAGACCAGTAGGATTTAAACTGAAGTAAATTGAAGTTATTTGTGTGCAAAAGTCAACCAAATAGCATTAACTGGACAGAAAGCTTCATCTTATTTGTAATTATTAATAGCCCACTACTTTCTGAATTAAAACTACATATAAAACAGAACTGTTCAGTACCATATTTTGCTACCATTTCCTTAATTGTTATTTCTTTCACAGTAGCAAAGACTTCAGAGATTGTATTATGACTAACAGGATCTTTTTGGAAACAAGCTAAAGCATCTGTATCCTGCTAGGAAAGCACCATATTGTGGCCAATTATTCATATAATTTTTTATTGTGTTAATGAATATTAGCATTTTAACAACTATTATTATGAAGCATAAGTTAGGGGAATAATGTCATGTTGCTGAGATTTATGTACAGATTGTGCCAACAACAGCAAGTGCAATATGCTATAAAACAGATCAAAATCACATGTGCAGGAGAGCATTAGTGATACCAGTAATGCTTTCTATTTGTTTGTGAATCCAAGCCATTTTAAAACAGCAATGGCTTCTATAAGACTTCCAGTCAATGTTTTCAGTATATGAATGTGAATGGCTAGTATTTACAACCATTTATAAAAAGTTTACTTTGCACTTTTTGTCCCAATCCTTATTAAACACATCAGGTTTATGCCCCCTAGCAAATTATTTTAACCATCCCTACAATTTTGCACTTTTCTGTCTTTAACATTTTATGGAGTTAATACACATACACAGTTCCAATAAAACTCCAATTCGGCATTTAGGCAGACTTAGAGGCTGACTTTGACAACTGAACCAGCAGCAGCTGAACTGCTGAGTTTTCAGAAAGGATGTTCCTTTTAAGGAGCACTAAAAATTACTTAAGTAATAATTTGTGTCAACAGCAACTTGTTTCTTCCTTGAGGCATCATTTTGACAAACATTTTCTTATCCTATGCAATTTAACAGTAAAAAGAGGATAATAAGACTTTCAGAGGCAGTATAAGAATTGATAAATAACTTTTACCTTTCACACCACTATTTTATGTTGAATGATCAGGCACAACTGCTTTATTTGAAGTTCTTTAATTTTAATTATGAAACTATGATAGCCTAAATCAAACACTGAATTTAAGATCAATCTCTCTGCAATATAATTTACAAAAAGGGACAAACTTTTACAAGCCTAGAACTCTGCAAGACTCATATTCTCCAGAACACGAAGTACATTTATATTTATTTTACTCAGACTTGCAGGTTCCCAATGATTCAAAGTCTGGAAAACATAAACTAGTCACAGAATGCATTATTAAGCTCTAAGCCAAGGCAGTGAAAACAACGGACGCTGGATACACGAACAAGCTTATATATGTGTTCTTATGTAAAACATGAGAGAGCATCACAACCCCAACTCCTAACATGAACCTATTCTCTGTGGACTACATGCAATACTAGCAGTGAGTATTTATCTGCTTTGTGTAAGGAGAAAGAGGAACAAAATCTGCTCTTCACCATCAACACTCTAATGGGGAAAAAGTATAATACTTCTGACATCAAGTCATATGCTATCTCTGTTGCTTCAGTTCTTCCTCTTGCTACCTATTTTTATGCCAAAGAGAGAAGGAAAGACAAAAAGAGAAAGAGAGAAAAGGGTACAAAATGGCAAAGACATCACAGTGCAGGAAATTGCTGTGATTAGGAGAGGATGGAAAAATAGGGAAAAGCAGCAAAACAATAGAAGGCAGACACCATTATGAGGCCTAAATCTGAAATTAAATACAAGCACTAAAATAAAATTCAGAATTACTATTTTATGATTTTCACACTGGTCAACAGTGTACAACATACAACAGCAAGAGCAACACCTAGGTATCATTTCATCCTAACATTTCTCACTGCTCACAAAAGTCACAGTAGAAAAACTGTGAAATCAGCTTTGTACATCTTCAGTCAGTTTGTCTTAAGTGTAAATTTTGTCTTGGTCATAGGAGTTTTTACATAGGTAGATAGTGACAGGGCAACGGGGAATAGATTAAAACTAAAAGAGGGGAAATTTATATTAGACATTAGGAGCACATTTTTTACACAGAGGTTGGTGAGCCACTGGCATAGGCTACCCAGAGAAGCTGTGAGTGCCCCATTCCTGGAGGCATTCAAGGTCTGGTTGGAGGGGACCGTGGGCAGCTTGATCCAGTAGGTGGCAGACCTGTCCACAAGGTGGGTATGGATGATCTTAAAGTTTCCTTCCAACCCAAGACATTCTATGGTTCTATGATTCTTCGAAACTGCAAAATATTTTGCTCTCATTCTTACAAAATTTGCACGAGCACCACTGTAATTTTAAAGAGCAAAAGGGACAACTGGACATCAATTACCTCCATATTAGCTGAAAAGTATATGGGTGCATACATTCATGTATATATGAATGACCCTGCTTCACTGGGGTTGGAACTCAATAGTATTTAAGGTCTCTTCCAATACAAGCCATTCTATGATTCTACAATTCTGATTCTATGACTCTCCAAAACCCTCTATCTGGGGAGATCTTTCAAGTATCAACAAGCAAAATCAGTCCGGCCCTGCTGCTTTCATGGTATACTAATTTTGCCTTAAATCAAGCTTTTTACAAATGAGAGAATGGAAATAGAATTTTTTATTGAATCAAGACTGCATATTTAGTAAGTTTTAATGTTCCAGGTTGATCTAGTATACCTGTGAATGTCTGAAAAAAGTGACATAAATGCAAACTTCAAGTCATGCCTTGAAATATAGAAAAGCTTTTAAAATTAACTAGCAAAAAACTGTATATCAAAATCCTTTTTAAACATATCACCCAAGGACCATACACTACATAGCAATAACATAGTAAGAAAAAAAAAAACTTACTGTTCTGGTTTATCCAGAAGCTTCAGTTCCTCCTCTTTTGAAGTCTGATAATATTGCTCGATTTTTTCCAGTTCATCCTTTTGTGCTCTCTGAGTGAGTTAATATAGAGTGATTAATAACTATTTTTTAATGAATTAATAAATTGCTAATTTACTTGCTTTTCTGCAAATAATTATATTTTCAAATACATTTAGAATGTGCAAAAGAGCAAGGCTCCTGAGGTTCCATGAGCTAGCACTGACTTATAAAATATAGCCCTGCAAATATTGCTACAGGATGCTTGAAAGCACTTAGATCACAGAAGTAGCTCTGGTATTTCTACAACCAAGTGTAAATGCATTCTTGTATACAACTTCAGAGTCAAACAGCCTAAATTACTGAACAGTATCTGTAGATCAACTTGTGTAAGAACAGCAATGCACTAGCTTGAGCTAACTGTTTTAGCCACTAACATCTTGAATTAGAGAACTCAGCACACTAGCACATAACAGGCCTTGAGTAAGGATGGTATTTTTCACGTAGTACAGAAGAGACAACTGATAGGTGTATCATCTTTTGTTACTGTTACATCATTTGCAATTACATCATTTTATCCCAATTCCAAAAGCAGGCCCCTGGTTTAAATGTTTGACTTTTAAGAACTAAGCCAATCAGAGAAATATGTATCTCATTAGGTATCTTTTGATGTTGCCTATCTGATTATTGTTAAACTCCTTAAAGACTTGTCCTACATAAGGTCTCTAGTCAAAAACTACAACATAAAATAAAACTTAACTTACTGCATATCTGAATTTCTGAAAGATATGGTGATTAACCACAGACATATCTCAACTTACTTACATTTTCATATAGCGCTTCCAGTGTTTCCAAATCTACTACGGAGTCATCAACACACAGAATAGCTGTATGGGATACAATCACAAATTAGTTGGTAGAAAACATACTGCAAATTCAATCTTTTTTCCTGGAAAACATGAAAGAGATCTTACCTAGTTAAAGGATGTATCTATGTCCAGTTAATGTCTTACTATTTCCAATTTGTATTTTCATTCTGATTATAAATCGCAGCACTCAGACAAGAACTTATTATAAACTGTCATAGGAGAATGGAGTTCTACTCTCCAGTACATTCAGCAGTCAAAGCTACAACCTGCCAAGTGTTCAGCTTCCTGTGTAGCTGGCCAGGCTGGGAATGCTGGATATCAGACAATGAACAGCACAGATTTCACAGTAGCATAGAAGGCTGGATAGGAAGGAACTGAGTTGGGACATTTAAATTGCCCCTGTGTGCATGGGAAATCAGAATTATGAAAACTGGGAGATCTGCTTGTCTTGGAGCTAGCAGTCTTGGGATTTAGACAGATAGATAACCTTGCAAGAAAATTCAGATTGTATTACAGGTTTTAAGCTATCTTCACAGAGAATTTCACATTTGAGTTAGCTTCATCCACCAGAAAATTACCACAAGAAAATTTCCTGATAAAGATTTCTAAATCTTATGCAGACACTTAAAGTGTACTTTCCAATAACAAATTAATCCTCATTACCAAATTATTTCCAAATGCTACTACACTTGGATTATACAGCATTAGGTGCTTCTAACACTTGCAGATTCCACTACAGTTTAGGCAAAAGTATTGGTACTTGGTGCTCTTTAGTGCAGAATTCCCATAAGTTAAAATATGCACAATGGCAGATGAATACCTTTGGATGTCTTACTTTTTGGGAACACCATTTCATCAGAATTCATAAAGGGATTGGGCACAATTTCCAACCAACTGATCTATGTTTAAGTCTTACTGGAAACACTGATCCAAAAAAAATATTAAGGTCTTTACCAGTTTTCCACATAATCACTGACACATTTTTTCACAAGTACTTGGTAACTTGAAATTTCAACAAGACTAGATTTCTTCAAATGAAACTTGACTACTTGTGAATTTAGAAGATTCAGAAAGTTTTAGCCATATTCACAATCCATGTTCAAAAGGTCCAAGGAACGCATCTTTAAATAATTATTTTAAAGGAATAAGCTTTCGCCTGCTTTTCCACCTATCCCATGATTTTATATTGTGAAATTAACCAGCCGGCTAGTAAATTTTCTCTGTGTCAGACTAATTAATTTTATTAAAAGGTCCAGTGACGTTTAGAATGCTTTAAAATTTTGCCTGTCAGTTATGATTCAATCTGTTGACATTACCTCTTAGTTAGAAGTAAAGAATTATATGGAAGGATGCAGTACCAGGGGAAAAGTACAGCACTATCCTGAGCTATTTTTGTCTTATTTCAAAGGTTGAAAAAACCCCAGGAGCATAACCAAACATAAAACCCAAGTGACAGAGCTAAACCAAATTCTGTTTATAAAGAAAAATAATTATTGACTGAATCTATGAGATCATCTGTTGGCCCTAGCGAGACAGTTCACAAATTTAATTATCCTTTGCATTATCCAGTGAATTATTAATAGAACCAAAGAGACTGGAAAAACTATTGGAAAATTCATTTCACAGTCTAATACATTTAATTTTTAGGACTTTTAAATACATATATTTAGTTCAACATTTTTCTCTTGTGGTTTCTCTATATCCTATTTTGGGGTACTCTGAAATCTGCTTATAAAGAAAAAAATATTATTACAGAGTTGTTCAGAAAAGCATCTAATAGGAGATAAGTTTAACTCCTAATGGAAGTGCAAAATATGTAAGAAAGAATAAATCTTTTAAGTACAGAACTATCAGGATGACAGCAAAGAGTTTGGAAAAAAACCCACATTAACAAGAACATCAAGATTTGTACATCTAACTGTCACACACCTATCAAAAAAGGCCCCCAAATCACAAAGTGCTAAATTCTGATTAACACTTCTGTACTTAACAACAGATTTAAGAAAATAGTATTGGTTCCAACTGACATGAGATACTGTTTTCTATTCCAAAATGACTGAAATTAATCCAGTAAAACTGAATCTGATAAGTTAGCACACATTTGAAACAAAATTAAGAGTAAGCATTTTAAAGGACATTAATTTATTTTATCTTTTGGTACAACTGTGTATTTCCATTGAAGTACCAAGAAAATGTTTTCTGATGTATTTGATATAAAACCTGACCTGCTGTTACTGGCAATGCACGTGCAGATGGGGCACAGTTTAAAATCTAGCTGTATTAATTCAATGATAGTTTGACATCTTAGGATGTTAGTACATGTGAGGTCACAATTCCAAAAAGTCAGAAGTACTGCCAAAATCTACAGCAGACTCATTTATTTAATCTTTCTTTACTTTTGTCCCTCTATCTCTTCACACTCAAGCTGACCAAGCTTAATGTAAAATGCATTTGTAGGAGAACACAAAAATGAAAATGTAAAATTACAAAAATTGGTCATTTAGAAAAAAACCCACATGCACATTGATTTTAAAAGCTGGAAGGAATCCCCCCAGTTCACAGGTGTCTTAATATTCTTCATATTCTTAAAATACAGCATGTGCAATACATTCACAGTATGCTGTGTAAATTAATTTGAGTTGGGGGCAGATAAAAAAAAACCTATTACACTAGATCAAAGAAACTAATTATTTTACTTTCTTTTCTTAGAACTGAACGAAAACTTCTTATTTTTTCAGTTAAAAACAAAGCCAAGCTTTAGTCATATGTATTTTAATACAATTAAAAATTAATATGAATATGCAGATAAAAATGAGCTTTCAAAATCCTCTTCCAGATACTGTGAATTTAATCACAACACTTAAATGTATTACATTTCATTATATCAAGACTCATATAAGTGTAAGTAATAAAGGTGAATTACCATAAATCTACAAAAGAGGCTCCCAAACAATTAATAGCTATTACAATATCAATCATCATTGGTGTTTTTTACTTTTATCTTGCTTTCTAGTTAGCTGTCTTCCTTACACTGTCAGTTCAGTTAGAATATTTCACCTACACCTCACAATATGTCGAAAGGAAGTAGACTCATGCTGTGAAAAGCTGGTAATTTTATTGGGTTCCTCTACCTTTAAAAAATCTGTTACTTGGCCAAGTCTGGTTTCTGAGATCCTTTCTTGCAGGGAAATTGAGGCAAACATTTTTATGTGGCCTATGGTGTCTGCTCACAACAAGAAGAATTTATATACACAAGGATCATTAGTGCAGGGTTGCACCCATTAGGATATAATAACCGTCAGCTAGGACAAAAAACAGATCTGCATCATGCATTCAAACTAACAAGCACACATAAAAATACTTGCCAACTACATTTCACATACTAAGAGTATTGCTTCAAACATAAACTTTTACCAAAGGCTTTAACAGACTCTTTTTAAAATGTATCTAACTGTAGAAAACAGATTCCCTACCAGCACAGATTTTTCACATACTCTATTTTATCACTTCAAAAATGTAAACCAAAGAAAAGCTGAGAACTTAAAGCATACTGTCTGCAGTCTACGTACAAATGTAGATCTTAAAGATCAAGCATAAAAAAGATATCTTTCTCTTCTTAACTGGCTTAAATGCCAACAGTCTTAAGATTGTCTCTGATATGCAGCCTCACTCCTATTATGCACATTTCAGTTAAATCAGGATTTAATTCCTGATGACAGTGCTTACATATACTTAGCAGTATTAAAACACTTAAAATGACAATTAAACTATGAAATATGAAGAAATTATCTTAACTGCCCTCTAATGATAGAACAGAAATATGCTATTTTAATAAAAAGGGCTTGCCAAAGTTTCATTCATTTGGCCTGAAGTACCTGACTTTTTAATGTACTATATTCTGCACAGAAGGCTTAATATCATGGGAACATGAAGCCTATCACCGGGACATGTAAATGAAAATGTTACTAATCTAGTCAGCTAGGAAGTGATTGTGACAGCTAAATACAAATACCCACTTTGCAAAACTACCTAAAATATCAAAATTGTTCCAGTTTACTTCTGACTGATTTGGTGTTTTGAACTCACTTAAAGATTTTCTCCACATTTAACATTTAACTATAACGTAACACAAAAACATTAAAATACACAATACTAAGAAGCACCATATGCATGCTGTAGGTTTAGAAGAGTAAGAAAACTCAACTGCTGCAAGCAAGAAAATGCGAGCAAAAGACTCTGGCACTAAAGTTAGCCTACCCACATTAGACTGGATGCCCAAGGCAGATGCATAAAAACATATGTTGTGAATTTTCCAGAACAAAGAAAATAACTTTTAAAGGAAATTGCTTCCCTGCTTCCGAGATGGGTATGGAGCCATCCCTGTGCTTTGTGCATAATATATAGAATGCATAGAACGCATGTATTTAATATTCTGTGTAGAGGGAAAAGTCACACAATTTCAGAACAGTTTTAACTTTTATAAATCTTTGTTTCCATTTCACAAAATGTTTTAGGTGAAATCTTCTAACATTCTTTTCATTTAGTACAAGTAAGAAAGACTCCAAAGCACTTATCCTTAAACAGAGATATTTGAAAAATATAAGGGGGAAAAGAATTATTAAGTCATTTGTGCCATGTGATATGCTTAAAACACAGGTGGGGATTCAGAAATTCTGAGCACACTAAGGTTTGCAGATTAGACTTGCTCTGGAAGAACAGTTTGCACGGTGCATTTAAGACACAGACTATGGGGCGTTGAGAAAACTGCCTAGTTAAAAATGATACTGTTCTTCACAGCTTAGATATGCCCTAAGCCACATATTGTATCAAGAATATGCAGAATATGTAGCCTAGTTATATAAACAGGCATGGCCTCTCAGTAGAGGAAAACTACATAGAAGACTACCATTGCACAATAGAACTATAATCGTGCTCCTTCTAGATAATTGGTCCTCTGCAACATGAAAAAATGTTGAAGTATGTTGGCATAGCAGTTACTCACATTGTCCATCACAAAAATTTGCAATGAAGACAAATATACAAAGCAGATGGCACAAGCCAGGTTTTGTAACAAGATCGATCTTAATCCATTCAATCTAAATGTGATCTAAATGCTCTCTAGTATCTTCAAAGCATAATGTGTCTCTGCATAGTTCACATTATTGGTGAACACAAGTATGTTTCAAACGCACAATAAACATTCTAGGTCTCCATACATGCTATTATAAGTTGTCCAGTGCTCTTCTGACTTAATGCATGGAATCTTAGTCATGATACTTAATTGTTTAAAGCCTAGGAAATAAAAATCTATATATTAAATTGGTCATAATGCCAATGATCAGTGTTCAACTTTCTCTTTTCTTTGCCATACAAGCTAAGTTCTGAACCATTAAAGTGGTATTATGTTGAACGTTTCCCTGGGCAAATGTGCAAACAAAGCCTGGAGTTGCTTTGCATGGATTAAAACAGCACTTTATAGTCACAAATAGTGTAACAGATTATAAAGCATGCATCTTTTGTGATCCATTGCATTTCATTGATTTGGTCCCAAGGAAAATACGTTAGTATGTAAGAACATCTAATTAATGTGTTCTAATGGAAATAGTGAATTATTACCAGCAACACCCAGAAGCAGAGCTTCTGGTGCTCTGCAAGTGTAGTGAAAAAAGTAGGTATTTGGGAGTAGGGATTGATTTGGGAGAATCACTCTTCAAAACAGGCATCTAAATTTTATCTACATCCTGCTTTCTGTTACTAAAACTATTTTTCATCTGGGCTGCCCTTCAATTCTGCGACTGTCCTCCTGAACAACTACAATGGGAAGTCAGCCCAGACGACCTAAACTGCAGAAAAGATTATTATTATTTTCTAATCTACTGCTATTGCTAATGGGAAATACTGATTATAAATGTATGTAAAGACACTTTGTGGGTTGCAACTGCTTACTGACTGTACTACACAGGGAACTGCTTGAGTAACTGGAATATTGGTCAGTAAGCGGTTGGGACCCACAGAGGGTATTTGCATACATTTATAATAAGTATTTCCCATTAGAAACAAAACTGAATCTTCTCACTATGGTAATATTTTGATAGCAAAGCCACACAAGTAGTCTTGACCCACAAGTTTGTCTCTCAAGCTGTTGTGTTTCAGCTGAACAATGACAGAAAAAGTAAGGCAGAAGTACACAGATCTGATAAGGAGTTATATTTCTGTCAGTGTGTAACATAGCCTGTTCCACACCTAACAGCTGATTTCCACTATTCATCATCTCTTTTGTGTGAAGGTTTCTAAAAAAAAAAACCACCAAAAACACAGAAACAATGACTTGAAAATAATATCAAGCCTATGCACAACTTTATTATCTTTATTTGATTTTAAAATATAAATGCAGATTCTGTAAAGCTTACTGAGACAGACAGATATTCTGTCTGCTTCTTTGGCTGAGGAAAATAATATTATTAATAGTAGTCTAACAAGAAACTACATTACCATCTTCAGTACCAGATTCATCATTAAAATTTGTTAGTGTTCTCAGAATATTACAACACAAGGTGGGGAAGGATTACTCTTCCTCTTCCCCCTACTAAATACTGTATATCTTGACAGGTGCAGAATAGCAACATAAACTTTCCTTCTGCAACATATAAGTGCCAGTACTACACAAAATGTTGATTCAATTTTACCCTGTCTTCTCCCTAGATGATGCTCAGATACAGCAAGAATTTAAATTTATCTGCAAAAGATGAACTTCATTCTCTCAAACAAACACGTGTGAGAGATTCCCTTCCCAAACTGTGGCATCTGGCTCATTATCAAATGCAAAGAGAAACATCTGTTTGCCAGATATGGCCACTGATTTGTTTTGCACTGCTGAGCTATCTAAAGAATATGCTGTGAAGCTATTTACTCAGTCTGAGAGAATATTCCTGCAAATGCAGAAGCCCCACAGCATTTTAGAGAAATACATATTTTTTTCTTGGGATTATTCTTGTTTTCCCTACAATTCTCTAATTTTTGCATTCATCTTGTGCATATTGCAATTCTTCACAAAAGTAATTTGGGGACAGTTTTCCTAGAACTGCCACTTAGTCCATTATAGACAGTAAATTCATTTCTACATGAATTTTTAAGAAATATGGTCAGAACAACTTGAAATAAAATTAGGTACCCATTTATTTTTTTCCCATTCCAATCCCATTTCTTTCAAGTTTCTTAATTCTCTGTTGCAAGCTGGAAAAGACAAGTAACTTCTCTCTCCCTCTTGTGTACCAAATTTTGCAATTGAATGTGGTTTGAAAAGAGGGATGAGTGTTTAATTATAAAATTTCTTAAAGGTAACTCTTTATAACTCTACTTTCTAAAAATAATAATAATAAAATAATATTATAAAAATAATAATAAAATAAACCAAAACCTTTTGACATTCTGCACCAAATGATAATGTTCTTTTTTGGCTTAAATGTTGTCAAGAGTGTATCATGGCCTGTTTAAAGAATTTGTCTGCCAATAGACAGGACTCCACAGAGACTAAATTAAACAGAAAATATGGGATAAGCACACACTAGAAGCATTACGTATACTGTTGTCTTCATTATAGTACGCATTTCTAAAGGCTCTTTCTACAGAACAGATGTAGATGCTTTCCTTGGATCTGTTCCCGAGATAGAATATACACCTCCATCTATCCATAGATCTCGATTAGAGCTATTTCATACTAGTTTGAATATTTTCTATTTTTTCTTTAGATTTCCACAAGCTGTATTCCCAAATCCCTCCTCCCCCTTCCCCCCCCTTTTTTTTTAATCTCCTAGCTGTTCTCATAACCAAGCAGCTGCGTATCCTATTGGTGCCTTGAGCAACACACATGGTGACAGGCCAGTCATTTGCTACCTCTCAGAATAGAGAGGGTGACGAGTTACAAACTTTCCTTCAGTGGCAGCACTTGTTTCAGTGTCTCTTTTCTACCAACATTCTAACTTTCATTAAACTTGTGGGACTGTATTAACTGCGTCTACAACTACAACCAGAGTAGTTCTGTAGATTGCAGACAGAAACAGCCCATATGCTGTACACAGTTCAGGGAGCTGTAGTTTTAACTAGCTCACCACTGTGTGCTCAAACAGCTCTACAGCAAAGAGCTGGCAGATTTGCTTCAAAAGTGCACTGCTTATTCAAACTTAAATGCTAGTGTATATACATACAAACATTTTGAATATTTATGCTTATATCTTAAATTGGGCATAAATCTGCCTGCGGACTTCAAAAGCTGCAGAAGAATGGCAAACTGACAGATTGCTACAGACATGTATGCTGCATTCACAATGTCTTACTTTAGGAGAATATAATGGCATGGAAAATAAAAAGCATTTCTGAATAAACTACCCTGTTTTTATATGACGGTTGCTATCCTATCCTATGCTGCTATAATTCCTGATGGTAAACTATTCAATCTTTAATATTTAATTTTTTTTTTCTCCATTTCATTCTAATACCTTTCACACAATACTGGCAGGCATGAAGTTGTTCCTTCTTTTTTCCCTCCAATCCAAAAGCCATCTGTTAGCCCTTGTGCTTTTAAAGTGTTAGATGCTCAAAGGCTCTTCTGAAATTAACTGAAATAACCAATGCCAGCAGCATCTCAACACTCTACCCAGCATTTGCATGTGATGGAAGGAAAACAATAGCAAAAAGGAGACATCAACTTGAATTCTTCCAGCAGTTGTTTTAAATGGTGGATATTTTCTTTTTTTTTAATGTGAAAAAGAAATAAACAATATCCTTAAACAATATCTTTTAAAATCCAGAACATAAGCAGAATCTGAATTACCCCAGGGTTCTGAAAAATCTTCATTTCTCTACAGTTGTAGTGCCAAACTCAGATAATTTCTACCAGTGATGGAATTTATACACCAAATAGCCCAATGCTTTCAAAAATGCCACACAGTAATTATCTTCTTGATTACTGCATGGTACCTGCATTGGTTTCAAATATGCATTTCATGTTGCTAATGAAACAAAATGCAAATATTCAACAAATGCATACAAGCATGTTTAAAGTCCTAAAAACTTGTATACAAAACCTCTATTGAATTTTTGTCTATGTGAAACTTGCTTAAGCAAAAGGAGTGCAGGAATATGAAACCATCTTGAGAAAACACTGTACTGAAAGTGACGTATGAACTGAAAAGGTACAGGAGTTGTACCAAAATTTGCTTCTGGTTATTTAGTTGAAACTTTTACCTGTACAGGAATATGCTGGAAGAATAATTCTTCAGATACAATAAAGGGGACCATACTTGAAGTACATACTATAAGAAATTCTCTGAGTGCTCCTATAAGAAAATATCTATGTATATATCATACATTGTAGTTCTGAACTGCTTACCTTGTTGAATATCCTTCATCTCCAGGTGCAAACTGGATATTAAAATTCCCACAGTTTGTGATCGTTTTCCATCCAACAATTTGATAATCTAGAAAGATAATTCAAAATTATCTGAGATCAAATAAACATTCTGCAGATTCTTCATTCCCATAAACTCACATAACTTTGAGTTAAATTGAATGTTTCCCGAAACATTTTTATTAAATAAATGAAGCAATAGAGTCTATCTCATCTTGATGCTTGGCACCTTAATGAATACCTGATATATGTAAGCTTTAGTTCTCACCACATCAGCTCTTACTTGAAGCAGACTATTAAGAAGTAAAACTGAAAGTGCATCAAATCTGTATTCTGGAAGATACTTTTTAACCCTTCTCCTTAAGCTCACTGGAGCAAAACTAAGGTATCATAGAATCATCAAATTATCAAGTTTGGAAAAGACTTCTAAGATCATCCAGTCCAACCATCCACCTATTACCAATATTTCCCCACTAAAATCGTGTCCGTAGTACAACATCTAAATGTTTCTTGAACATCTCCAGGGACAGTGACTCAAACATCTCCCTGGGCAGCCCATTCCAGTACCTGACTACTCTCTCAGAATACTCCTTAGATACTCAGAGTACATTACAAATGCCTTAGTTTATCTCAGAGTTGATTTTTCAGTAAGAGTACATTTTACTCTGTTTGACAGAGGTTCATCTCTTGACCAAAGAGAATTGGAGATATGCTTTCTCATGCTCTCCCCAGCACTCCTTCTGGATCACTATGGGTTACTGAAAGGATTCCTTTCACTTGTGTCTGATTGTGCTTCTTCCTCCCCTTTGACAATCCAAATGCATTTAGGGTTTTGTTCATATTTTGGAGAACAGATACTTGTTAGTATAATAACTAACATTTAGACTGTAATCTTTCATATGTTGAGTGAAGGAAAGAGAATGAAATCAGGTGAGGGAAACCTTGAGGAAGTTATGCCGGTTAACCTGCTGATTAAAATTAGTGATACTGATGTTTATCATTCCATAAATAAAGTCATACAGGAAAACTATCAGGATTTTAGAAATGCAGTTCAGATGTTAGAAGAGACAGATTTGATATGTGAAACTTGTATTCTGAACAAAATTTCCCCATCATGTTTGCACTGTTTGTGTGTGTGATTTTGATTTATTTTTTAAGAAAGATAAGATCATCACATCACAAAATGCAACACAGATGTGAAGTTCTTGAAAATAAGAAAAAGTTATATTCTAGCAGCTGGCTTAATTTGTAATGCTGATGAACAAATGCTACTTTGCTAACAGTTTCTTTTCCCTCTGATATTGTTACAGATGTTCACATTACAGACAACTAAATGATAAAACTCATACTAACTAATTTAAGTGATTCCCATGGGTTTTATAAGACATAGGAACATTTAACTGCGCTGCTACCTATTTATTCATGTATATAGAAGTTGTAGCTGAAAATACAGGAAAAAGAGAAGCAATAGTAACATTTTCTCCAGAAAAAATGTAGCTAGTTACTACTTGTAAGGTAGTGAAATTGGACAGGATATGTATAAGTACAAATACATGCTGTCTTCAACAAAGATCTGAAAAAAATCTTTTTTTATGTCTCTATGGTAGAAACTTAATTTAATGAAATTATGTTACAATAAATGTCACATACTTTCTGCCAAAATTGGGAATTTGAGATTTGAAGGTTAAATTTGCAGTAATTATGCTGGATATCAGCAAAGGAATACTGTTTTTGTACTATTTAAAATATTTTCTTCAAATGAAAAAAAAAAAAAAATCAGGCCCCTAACTCTCAGAATACATAAATAGACAAGGTGATTTGGCTACAAGTTACCAGAAATGAACACTCTCTAAGCACTTCATCCTGTTAACTGCAATTTTTCAGAGCATATATAAGTAACTGCTCAGTTTATCATGGTTATTTCTGAAACTTCAAGTGAATTTGCTGAACTCCTCAACACATTAACTTCGTACAGGGATAATTACAGGCTTGACTAGTATGCAATTTGTATTGCATTCACTGACCTCCAAGTTGACCTTGTTCAGGGGCAAATTCATAGGTTGTCATAAACCCTATTAGATATGCCTAGTTTGAGACAAAACCGTTCCAGGCTATAGCTGTTAGACAATATGACATTTCAAATAAATCTGTTATTTTTAAACGCTAAAATATTATTAAATGTAACCAAACTAACTTCCATTGCTTAGCAAGACTTACTCCTTAGAAGACTAGTCCAGTAAATTCAGAGAAGAGCTTCTATAATTTTAAAAGCTAAAGTAAAGATTCATGTTTTAAAATGTCCAACCAACTGTATATTCACAGGCATTTTAGACAAATGTACACATGGTCACAATTACCAGCCATCAAACTAGACTCAGACTACCTGAAATGGCTTCAACAACGTGAAATCTCTAAATGAAGGCAAATATTTTATTCATTAGAGAGCAAATAGAGAGAAATAAGACAACAGAACTGCTCAAACTGGGCAGTCATAATATTGGGAAATTATACAGGACTTTTGTTACAAACTTTAAAACCAATGTGCATCTTGAAAGATCAGCATAAAAACAGAACATATTTTCCGAAATAGTCATTTCACACCAAATAATGCTTATTCTGGAGGAGCCACTGAAGGGAATTATATGTGTGTATGAATTCTAAATGGAATAGAGATACAAAAAATTCTTCAGTTTTCCAGCTCATAAAAACCATAAGGCAAATAAAATGGAAGTTTGTAAAGACTGCATTGAACTATTTAGTCTATGCTTTTAAAAGACAAATCACTGCTCACCTCTCAGCATATTGTAACTTGCTTTTAGCTGGCAGTGACAGGCAAGCAGCTAAGATCCAGCTGACGGCAGCTGATGCTGCTATGCCAGCTGGCAAGGTTTGCCAGCTGCCTGCCGCTCCCAGACGATGAATGTGTCGTTGTAATGGATGCAGCATCTAATGGCTCAGGGACAAAACTGTAAGTGCCAATGCTAATTCATTTAATTCACTGACCTGTAACACTATTTGCTCAATGTGGTGTTCCCAGAGTGTTTTTTAACATTATTAAGTTAGTTGATCTGCTTTAGACAAGTGTCCCTTTTATACCTTTCTATATTTATCATATAATGTAAAAGTAGAAACATACTGAAGCTTCAATACATTCATAAAGTAATCTGTCATTCCTCTTAAAATGTGTTTCTCTAATGTAGCAAGAAACATATTTCATTCAATATTATATGACAGACCACACTTTTGTCTAATTGTAATGTCTACATTCTGTGCAGGACACTTACTGGTGCAGAACAGATTCAGTTTACTTTAGTGATTAAAAGCTAAATCCTTCCTCCTGCTGGTGCAAGGATTCTTTCCATAATATTTAAATTTTGTGAGAAAAACCATGAGCTAAAAAGCTGTCCCAGATATCAGAGTGTTTTCCTTCATTCCTACTCATTAACTTTTATAGTGAAGTCAACAGCCTGGACCCGTAAGTAGTCTGCTGAAACCCAGTTCAAATGGTGGAAGAATATCCTGCACAAGAAGCAAGTATGTTCCTCCAGCATTTCTACATAAACACCCCAAGACTACCAATGAAATTTCAGAATCTTAAGACCATATATTATGCCTTCTCAAAGAAGAGCCATATTTAACTATTTTATATTTACTTGGATGAATCAGTTTAAGATCTTATCCATGTTTTTACTATTTTACATGTGTATTCCTAACTAAAAATCTATTGGATGAACTAAAAATTATTTTTATCCTTTTTCTAAATGTCAAGCAACTGGCAATGTTTCAAGACAAAAGTGGTTAAAAAATAAAAAAATAAAAAAAAAAAAAAAAAAAAAGAGCTGGCAAAAAACTTATTTCATTTTCTTTATTTCTACCAAAATCATAAAAACAAAACAGAACCACAGAGATAGATGTTTACTCCTCATGGATACTCTTCCCATCCTACACGACAGAGGAGCTCTGCAGTAAGTAAGGAAATGCTGTATTCGTTCTTCTCAGCACAGCCCAAATCATAAAATGAAAGGGAGAGTGCCTCAGAAGAGTGTGCTAGCATTCTACTACTTTTACTGAAGTTTGCACACTGTTTATTATCTTATGCAGACTGTTGAAGACAGTCGTTGTGTTTCAACCTTGCAAAGTATCCAACATTTTCTGCAATAACTGCTCTTCTTGCGGAAACACAAAGTTCATTAATTTAAATTCCTCATTTAGTTAGATGGACAAAAAACTTGCTGACAGACATATCCCTTTCAGTTAAAAAAATGCAATTCACTCAAAATATTGACACTCTTCTTAAATGGGAACACATGTTAATAATTATGTGAAGTCTGTTAGAGATAATAGACAACAGAAAAGCCATTATCTTTAATGTCCTCCTGCGTCTTTGAAATGATAATCATTGCACTAAAGGGCCAAAAATGATTGATGGACTTTCATTTGGAGCATACACCTGACACAAATTACTTGATATTTACCCTCCATCCCTCATATTTTTCTTCCAAGACGACAGAGTGGCATCGCAAACATCCAACTATCCTGTTTCTTGAAAAAGTATACGAGAGTAAGTTCCTCACAAGTCCTCAAATATATTGGAAAAAGTAATGCAACTTTCAAATATTTAACTTCAGTAATGGAGCTAGATAATGCACATGGAATAAATCATAGCAAAGGAATGTTCTTTTCTAAATAACCTCTTTTTTTTTTTTTTTTTTTTTTTTAAGCCTTACATTGCACAGAGCTTAATATGTAGAGAATCTCGCTTTTTATTTCATTCCAAAATACATTTTCTAATTCTGCTTTTCTCCAGTTTGGTAGCACAATACCCGATCTTGGTTAGGCATATTGAAAAGGAAATCCTATGGCTTCAAAACAATTACACGTGCCTGTCAGTTTCAAAATTTGCATAGGTCCTTACGGAAAATAAATATTTACAGTTTAGAATGACTGAAAGTAAAAATTCTTTGAATATAAATTTCACTGCTTCATCTGTCATAAAAATGCCAATAGTGGGTTTTCACAGTCTAGAAAAGATCTTAGATTCTTCAAATTATTATATTAAAACCTATTGAA